CTATTTCCTAAAAGAATTAAAAACTAAAAATAATGTTCGTAAAATTTCCAAACGTTCCTTGCAAGCAAGCTATTTGCATGACAAGGCACTGCAAACTCTATTCAGGGGAGATAATAGATTTTCAAAACTTTACAATTGCTCCAATAAACCTCTTTAAACCTCTTTAAACCCCCAATAAAGTCTTTTTCTATTTGAGTGTACTCCTACGTTTATTTTGTATCATCAACACTCTGCACGTTGGAGTGGACTATTTAATTATTTTTTATTATGCCGAATATATTGGGGGGGGGTTGAATTTTTTTTTGGAGGGGTGGACATTTTGTTTGGGGGGGGTTATAGCTAATATTGGGGGGGTAGCACCCCCCTGCACCCCCCACAAAATCCGTCTATGTAAAGGATATGTGTGACAACTGAACGGTATCCTTTTGTAAAGTTTTTGGCCAGGGTGGGTATTCATTTTTAATTGATATTTGAGGTTGGCTTAGCAAACGTTTGGACTTTTTAACTGCGCAAAATTTTTACCAGGAAAAACATTTCTCTTCGGTGCAACCCAGCCGCTATAAATAATGACCGGTCCCTTATAATATCTATGTCTTTATAAATCCTCTAATTCTTTCAAATTATAGTAAAGATCTAGCGATTGAGGGTTGCGATAGGCAACTCTGTGCTCTACATGTTCCCCTGCGAGGATTCGCTTCACTGCAACCTCGACTTTCTTGCCGTTCGTCGTGTGAGGGATGTCCTGGATCTGTAGGATTTTGGCGGGAATATGGCGTGGCGATAATTTACTTCGAATTTCGTGTTTTATTCTCGTTATGAAGTCGTCTGTGAATCTGATAAGAAGGAAAGAAAGTGATTACGAATATTTCTCGCGCTAGGACAATTTTAAGCCTTAGTTTTTCACGAATGATGTTTTGTTTATGAGATTGCAGCTTCGCCAGCAATGGACAGTTTTCCCTGATAAGTTTCACTTGCTCGTATGTATGCGGCAAAAAATGGACAATTTTTCCTTGCCAACGAGCCTTGTTCCAAAACTGGTCATGCCAGCTTTTGGACTCGAGGAAAATTTGTTCGTGTGTACGGCCGCCAAGTAAATCTTGACAAGTGTAAAAAAATACTTCTACGGTTTTGGCAAACAAAAGGCGGCCTTGACGCAAGATAAAAAATGTTTAACAACATTCCGTACATACGAGCATGCAACAAAACTTATAAAGGGAAACTTGCCAGTGGATAGCGCTGTCCGACCTTTGTACAATTGGTCCCTGGATAATCTGCATTCCTCCTTGTCAGACAATGGTTTACCATCCCTGACCATTGTGCAATTCGACTGTTAAAACTTGCATTGTCTATATATGGTTAAACTTACTTGTAGCCGTTCGCCATCTTGACAAACAAGACAACGCGTTCTTCTTTCAATTTATTTTTACAAGCAACACATAAACTGTCATCTACTTCTTTTAATCTCTCCACTGAAATATAAATATGGTTCTCGTGTCATGTTTATGAAGAAGTTTGAAAGATATACAACATATATTCCAGTCTTTAGCAAAACATACCAACGTTGTAAATTTCTGCACTGCCGAAACGCACTCCGTTGGGGTTTAGTGTTCCATCACTGAAAATAATATTTAATTTCGTGATTTTTTCTGTGTTGGTGTAATGTACTCAGGTGAATATGGTGCTTGTGATGTTACTCTGAGTGTATATCCACACCGGGCAAGCTTTCCCACCGTGGACAGGCATATTTTTCAAGCTTGCCCGATGTGGATATACACTCAGAGTAACATCACAAGCACAATATTTAATTTCGTTTGGTTAGATCGGTTGCCCCAGTTCACTGTTCTGATAATATGAGCATAGAATGGAACAAAGGTAACCAAGCATTTAAATTGTATGTGTGAGTGAATTGGGTGGGATATTAACTCACACGCCTAGTTACCACTGTTCTGATAATTAGAGCGGAACAAAGCATAAACGTGCTTTAGTATCTATGCATGACAATCACATCTGTACCTTCGTCCTAACATAACTACGCCTCCTGTCCTAGAGCTGACTATACAGAAATCACCATGACTCCAAACATCTAGATAAAAAATTTTAATAGTCAACGACACTTTATCAGAACAATATCTGGTATCAAGCTTCAACAATAGATTTATCAAAAATGTCAAGGCAGTAACTCACCTTTATACTTGGCAAAATACGCGTTGTTGTATTTTACATTTCCTTCATCATTCCAGAAGCAAACTGGCATTGATGGAAAAGGTTTCGTACATACTAGCTCTCCTCGCTTGTCGTGTATTGGCTGACCTAGGAAGGTAGTTGAATAGCGGGTTTTTTTTAATAAAACACACGTAGAAACGCACAAGTTGTAACAAACCTGCAGCAGACTTGTAGCAATGCTGTTCCAACAACTTGTAAACAGGATGTGTTCGCACTGCTTGTTCCCAGCTTGTTGACAAGTTGCTACAAAGTTGTTGAGCGCAACAGAATTGTTACAAGTTGTTCCAACAACTTGGTTACAGGTTGTTCCAACAACTTGTTATCGTCCTGCAATTCAACAAGTTGTGAGTCATTGTAGCAACTTGATGAAATAACAGCATTGTTACAACTTGTGGACAAGCTTGCTACAAGCCTGTTGCGAACACAATCTTGTTGACAACTTGTGAGATTTTTATGTACTCATTTTGACAAAGCTTTCGATCCGTTAGCCCTGTCTTCATCAGTGGAAATAATATAAGGACAATTGATAACAAAGAACTTGTAACATACGGCAACTAATTACATAAAAAATACTATAAAATTAATATACCATCCTCGTTCCAGCTTTCGATGGCCATGCCAAGATTTCTACTTTGAATTTCACCTTTGTAGACAGGAATTGTCGGGTTTTGACCCATGAAACATGAAATAATATCTGTCCCTCCTAAAACATCAATAAATCTACATTGTTATATGTGTTTACCTTTGTTATTTGTCAACTAAATAATCACTATCATACCATCATTCATCACCACAACCACCATCATCACAATAGCCACCACCACTATCATCATCATCATAACCATCATTGCTACAACCACCATTACCACCATCATCACAATAACCACCATCACCACAACCACCATTCCAAGTGTTCTTCCAGCCTGATCCAACTATTCGAAAATCTATTCATCTCCTCTAAACGCCAAAGTAAAATATGTAACTTAAAAGTCATTCACCGGAGATTGAGCCAAGAAGCAAATCTCTCTTGATGCTGTTATAAACATAGTCGTATGTGGCAGGCGTTAAAGGAGCTCCCGTTGAAAGTATTGTGTGCAAATATTCCAGATTGTGCGACTCTTCTAAATATTTTAAAATATAAAATTTTGTGAGTTGTAGGAAAATGATAACGGGATATTCATTGTCTTTTCATCGTTTTGAAAATCCCACTGTTCGTCATGCTAAGATTGGGGAAGGAGGTAAATTAGTTCCAGACTTACTTGGGACGACATTTTTGCTTTCTAAAGTCTCGAGGTACTTGGGACTCGCTCCAAAAATAGTTATGCTAGAAAACCGAAAAGAAAAAACATCAAAACCCATGCAACGAAAATTTCATTTCTCCAAAATGATCTGGATTTTATAAAGATCGTGGGAAATACCCTAACAATCTGGACCGGTCGTACGATGGCTTGCCATCCACCGGATGGTGATTTTTTGTTAAACTTTGTAAGAATGTTGGAAAAGCTGTGAAACTGAAGTCTACGGGCATGAAATATAAAAAACATTAATGAATAAACTAAACTTTAATCTTGCTTTATACCAATCAACGCCCAATTTCAGAAAGCTTGAAAAAATCACTAAGACTTTCCGTAGCGGCGCGAAAAAGCACCTATCCAACACGGAAGTGTACAACTTTCAGAAGCTGAGCGAAACAACATCTCTCCGTTGCAAATAGCTGTCTGAAAATAGTGTTCCTAAAAGGTACGGATAGCTGTTTTTCACATCGCTACGGAAAGCTATCTGGTACAAGTGTTAAACGTAGCCTAAATCAGTAGCTATCCGGCGGAGCGCTATCTGGTTTTCGAACAACCTGCCCCAGAATTTTTAAGCCCAGATGAAACGACTTAAACGAGGATGAGAGTCAGCTTGAGAGTTGGCGATCACGCGACATTGTTTAGGGAGCGGTCATTATTTATGGCGGGCGTGGCACCGAAGAGAAAATGGTTGGGTAAACAAAATTTTGAGTGAGTAAAAGGTTGGGTAAATGAAAAACAAAACAACTCAAGGGCCAATTGGGTAAGAAAAAAAATGTTGTCATTTCCAAAGCATGACTTACTAAAATATTGAAGACTAAAAAGCAATGTCAACAGTCGTGTGTCAATACAATATGTGAATCTATCAGAATCACTATCTTGATATTTTCCGATTTGTCAGGAGACAAATGATGTCTCCAAAGAAACTACATGTGCAGACAATATGAAACTTTAGACTGCAGGAAATTTCACAAGCCGTTATCAAACTCATGTCACAGAAGTAGTAAAGGACATGTGTGACAACTGAATGGTATCCTTTTGTAAAGTTTTGGCCAGGGGTGGGTATTTATTTTTTAATTGATTTTCAAGGTTGGGCAATCAAATTTTTGACTTTTTAATGGTTGGGTCAGCAAAATTTTCCCCATGAAAAACATTTCTCTTCGGTGCCAGCCCCCACCATAAATAATGACCGGTCCCTTTAAAACGTGGTTGAAACACTTATCAAACCTTTATTTTGTTAATCTAGAGCTTGAAATGTCTCCTGTAACAATGCGTGGCTGCCAACTCTCATCAACTCTCATCCTGATTTGACCCGGGGCTTTACGTACTTGTGTCTATCCACTAAGTCAAACAAGACGTGTGGTGTGGGGATTATGGGTGAACCATCGTACAGTACTACTGTAGCACCAACAGCCAGAGAGGTCACCAGCCAGTTCCACATCATCCAGCCAGTCTAGAATGTATCATGCACATAGTAAGGTCTCTGTTTTGGTGGTTTTCATATTATATACTACTTTACATTGTTGAACAGTTTACCGTTGTGTAGTAGATTATGACATCGTCCCTCGTCATATTTCCATGAAGAATGTGTTCTTTCAGATGTTGTATTAATGTGCCCTAGAATTTTAACCAGCTATTGTGAGAAGTCAGTGAACCATAGAAAATTTCACCAACATATACATACCACATCTTATCACACCACATACCGTACCACACAATGCCACACCATACCATACCATACCATACAACACCATACCATACAACACCACACACACCATACATACCATACCATACAACACCATACCATACTATACCATACATTCCTTACCCCAACGGAATGCACCAAACATTTTGGTATCCCAGTGGTACCAGATGAGTACATAATAAACAATGGATGGTTGAAAGGTACTTGTTCAAACGTCAACTCCTCAGAAGTGTCAGCCAACTTTAGAAAATCATCGTAGAACATACTGACGACGTTAAATTAAGAAAAAAATGTGTTAGAATTATTATTGTTCGCTTTACACACGTAAAAACGCACAAGTTGTTACATGTGTGCAGCACACAAGTTGTTACAAATCTGTTCACAAGCTGTCGACAAGTTGTCGACTGCTTGTTCCCAGATGTTGTAACAAGTTCGGAACAAGCTGTTAACAGCTTGTTGCAAGTTGATGGTATTATCAGACTTGTTACAAGGTTGTTCCAACAAGTCTGATACAGTCATGATACAACAAGAATGTTACAAGGTTGACGACACAAGGTTGTAACAATATTGTTGTTACAACTGTTTAAAACAAGTTGTTCCATATCTACTTGTTGACAACTTGGGACGAGCAATGCGAACTTGTTGCAAGATGTGAGATTTTTGCGTGTGCGTAAATCTTTTCAGAAAGTGTTATTCAGTAACCTGTTAGGTAGTTCGTCCAGATTAATTTCATCTTTTGAACCAACGAATGGAAAAACGATTACATTCTCAAGATTAGGAAGACCTGATGAATGAAAGAACATTTAACAGCTCTTAACGTTTTTTTTTATGCTGAAAACAAGAGGATGAGAAGCGAGCAGGCTAAGGAGTTTTGACTTTTGACATGTAAGCTAGGGGCTTCGCGCGGTACGTGGCACAGTTATCAGAACAAGCACAGGGAATATTGACAGGGTGGGCTGGAAGTTGCCCCTAACTGACCCTTCCATCGTAGCCGTGGTTCGTGATCAGACATGAGTCATAAGGTGGCTGCGAGAGGCGTCCTTAGAAAGCCTTCGACTCAATCAGATTGAGCTGTCAGATTCACGGCAGTGACATTAAATCAGGCTCTGCTGTCAGGGTACGTACAGTGCCATTGGAAACAATATAAACCTTGGCATTGGAATAAGTAATATTAACCTTTCACGACTTCCTTAAGTTTGATCATGTGATTGTGAACTTTTCCATTGTACGTGACAGCGTTGACAGAGAAAATCACTCGAGGATTAATTTGAACAAAGCGATCCAAGACACCCTATGAGCAAAACAAAACCATGATGGTTGTTTTCCGCAAAAAATGCTATCACCATGCATTAATTGAATGTACATTTGTCATTTCATCTAATCATCTTAGACTCTTACCAGCGACCCAAAGTCCGGCGATGTGGAACTCCAAATCGCTCCTAAACTTGCAGTTGCTAGCATTGCTTCGACAGCTAGGCTACCATTGGGCAAATACCCTGAAAATTATAATTTGCAACCACAATTAGCTGGGACATGAAACCATAATCTTACAGTGCTGAAAACCAATTTTCATACCAGCAACTCGATCTCCTTTTTTGACACCAAGTTTCTTTAAGGCGGATGCCAGGATGGTTACTCTTGCTCGCAGCTCTTTGAATGATATTCTTTCGTCTTCTTGTCCTTCTCCTGTAAAATATATTTGTACATGTTGATCGGTACACCATTTCTGCAATATGTGATTATCACATGCAGGAAGAGTGCTTCCAGTTTGACTCTACCAAACAGAACAGGTTTCTCCATGAGGTGATTTCTAGGCTGTAGTAATGCTGGACCAATTAAGTTGAGAATTGATGTCATGTGTGAGTAGTACAATACCTGATGTGATTATGGCAGTTCTGTTGTCGTTAAAGTTTAAAAGATTTTCAGCATAGTTTAATTTGCTGTCACAAAACCATGTTGGGATGTCTGTCATCACTTCTGTGTTGATAACCTTGAAGAACAGTGTAATTGGATGAACCATACCATACAGTACCATTTGCCAAACACTACCATACCTTACCATGCATACAGTGCCATACCATACCATACAATACTATAGTATACAGTACTTAATACCAAACCATATATATATAATATTGTACTATACATACCATACTGTACCAATTATACCATATGATATACTGTACAGAACCACACCATCAACCCATACCATACAGTACCATACCATACATGTCAATACATGCATTTACAAAACCATCATACACATCAAACAGAACCACATCTACTACTGGCATGCTGCACCATACCATACCATGCTGCACCATACGTACCATACTGTGTCATACCATACTGTGTCATACCATACTGTGTCTGCATACGTACGTACCATACCACATACCAAATTATCTTACCATACTAGATCTGATCTTACCATACAACACTTTTGCCATACTTAGGGTAAAATATATTCATAACCTACCTTGGTATATGGTGATGATGAAATAATTCCAGAAAAGTGCCAAAACGTTTCCCAAAAGTCTTGATAACAATCAATTGACCACTTATAAAAATCATTGTATGATTCTAGAAAATGCATATAAAGCTTCTCAGAATGTGGTCTGCGGTATTGCTAACACAACAAAATTTAGAGCTTATATCAGCTTTATAAGCAAGTGATGGTTTTGTCAACATGGACGTCTGACTGCCGAAGCGGGACTGGATTAAAAACTGTGTTTGTGTCAGTTTGTGGTAATCTTCAACACATGTGACAAAACAGAAGATTTTTTCAAGCTAGGGTTCAATTCCTGGGGGCACCCCCTCCCCCTGGTTATACGACTAGACTGTATACATATCCTGGACTTTGATCAGATTTTAAGCAATTTAACATCAATGCAAGGCAATATATATGCAAGGCCATTAATTTATATTTCTAATTTACATGCAAATCAGTAATTTCATAATAGTTATGTAATTGTTATTTATGCATCGAATTACAGGCAAAAATATATACCATACAATAATAAAAAAATGGCAATAATTATTAAAGGACTAAATACTGGATAAAAAACCATGCTTAATATATTAAACCCAATATCAATGACAAAAGCACTTGAATTCTTAAGAATTTTCCGTTAGATAGGGTGCTATATATTACATATATACTCACCTAATTGTAGACCGAACGCCTTATTTACATGCGAGCGAAATTCATCCATTTTTGTGAGTTTATTTCGATCAGGTCTCCACATAATTTCAGGAGATTCGTTGTAACTGTCCATACTTTGATAATTCGCCAAAGTCGAAAGAGAATACAACAAAATGTATGGGAAAACTCCTGGTTTAAACTCCTTGCAGAGGAATTATGAATATTAAATTTGTATTGTGATGTGTCATTCGACTGCCGACCTTTGCACTGAGTCCGCTTGGTTGCACCAGGCAACGGACATACAGTTTGAATCATTAAAATTTTTATGCAAAATACTGCGTGTTTTCTTGTATAATAATTGTACTCGCACATTTTGTAATTCAGTAGCACAGTGGTGTTCATTTTTTGTACACGAAACAGCATAGAAGTCGACTAAATTGAAATTTGAAAGTATCTCAAATAGGGGAAATCCCACTTCTTTGAATGTCACACCATCGTGGATTCTCATCCCTCCTCCCCCCTGACCATTTGCAAAGTGAGGGGGTGGGGAATTGATAGTACTATTTAATATATTAAAATGTAGTATATAAGTCTTTATGATGTAGGCTTCTTCAAGGATTTTTCAATAAGTTGCTATATATATTACTGTAAAAGGAATGAGATTGAAAACTATCACGAGATACTGTGCTTGAAATATGAAAAGGGTAAAATGAAATACCCTTTCTAGAGGTGTCTTTTTCTTAATTTTCTACTTTTCTTTGTGTCAGAAATTGTGTTGCAATTAAAGTTTACTGTTCAAGTAATACTAATACCACAGAAGAGATAATACCAGAAGTCTTACTCAAGCGGAAACATGTCCCATCTTTTTTATTGCGCATGCGCGAGCTAAACAAGTGTAATGCAATGTTGACAATAGAAAATTATATTGGGAAGTTGTCATTCCTACAGTAAAAACAGCTTTTTTTCAAGCAGTACGAAATGTGACTTCGATTTATCCGTGGAACTATTTGAACAGAAGGTAAAGCAGTAATTTTGTTGTACTTAGAAAGCAAACAGGGTCATATTTTAAAGAAAATAGCGCACTAAATATAAATTTGAGCATCATTAAAATGTGTTCGCTATGATGCCATTTTGTCTCGAGTATATACGGAGTACTGCTTTTATACTGGTGGATATTCGAATTTATTTGGCTCAAAAACACCATTACTTCAATATCCCTTTCTTGTTTTTCCTTGGATAGGTTTTAACAAGATAGAACTCTAGATCACTTGGGTCCAAAAACGCTAGATTATAAAATCCTGATGTGACTTGATACTACAAATAGAATATGTCTTGTGATGTAATACTACAAATAGAATGACAAACTTCAATGAATTGATAAAGTGTAAGGATTCAAGGATAGTGTTTAAAGTTGCTTCATGTGTAGAAGCTGAATTACTTTAGTTTATACACTGTAATGTCGATATCACATGTTGATGACTTTAATACTAGCAACAAGTGGTCTGTCCTGCTTGTTTATAATACTTTAGAGTTTGGACATTAGAACATTGTAATTGCCTGACAGAGATTGTTAGGGCCTGTTTGTATGGAAGCCGGGCTGGCCCGCTTAGCGAGACAGCCCGGTAAGGTAGGTAAGCTGGATGATTTCTCTTGTGTTTATTTGAGAAAATTTCATCCTGCTTACCCGGGACAATTTTGTTGTTTTGACATTGTTTTGACAGTTGTTAAAAATAGCTTGCAGCAGTATCGTTGAACTTTCATCCTGGCAACTGGGCTAGCCTGCTTGTGATTGTTTATATGGAGAAATTTCCATCCTGGTCTCTGCAACAGGGCCTCCCGCTTGTACATAGAAACAAGTTTAATTATAATTTTTACTATAAAAATAAGTAGACAGCGAGATCTCACTTACCGGGCTGTCTCACTTAGCGGGCCAGCCAGTTTCGATATAAACAGACCCTTAAAAGCTGCAAGTTTCCTTAAAGCAATATCGTCTATATCACAGAATACAGTTTCTGTAGTGACATACTTTGTGTGTTTTCTGTCTTTAAAGTGTCTTATGTTTGTAATATTTTTGTACAATACATTTTTGAAATTGTTGATACTGGTCTCATTGTAACTCAGTTATTCCTTCTCAAGAAAAATAAAAAAACAAAGCTGTGTGGGTGTGTTTTTGCTCTAGTTTTTACATCTACATGATTCATGTACAATTAATGTACATTTAAATTAGCTTTGTTCAATGAATACAGGTGTGATTCAAATATCATTCCTATCTGGTACTTGGGTCAAATAGACATAAGCATACCAAATCATGCTATGAATTGAAATACAAGTATAGGGTGTGTATTGTTTAAATAAATATATTTTCCAGTTAACCCAGTAAGCTGCATTGTGTCCCAATGCACCCTACTTTACTAGTTTATTTCACTTCATCTAATGCCAGATGATTTTACTTATCGAGGGAGAGTGCTGCTGCTCATTGAGCTCTGATTGAGTTCACTGAGTGGCAGCACTTTCCCCTTGACGAGTGAAATTGTCTGGTGTTAGACAGAGTAAAATAATCTTGTGTTCACTAAAGTAGCTACTTTTTCAAAAGCTCAACCAGGCTAAAGATTCTTTGATTTGAAAACCAAAGTGATAGTGAACTAGTTAGTTGAAACAAACAGAATTGTTCGATTTATTTACTTTCCACAACATAATTTGACAATTAAAATTTAATTTGATACTTTTCCAGTATGCATTCTTCATTGACATTATAGAGGTTCAGATTTGACAACCATTACCATTAAGGGACCATCAAATGTATTTGATATATTCGATCAACCATGATTATAACCAATCAAATGCATACTAAGGCAGTCAGAGATAGTGCTAGTAGAACTCAAATCTTAACCTCTACAATGAAAGTGCGAGTTTATTCATAAACTAATTATACGTAAATCAACTTTCATGCAATCATCTAGTTATGCACCAGTCAATGTAAACCCTGCCCCCAACCGGGGAGGGGCGGGAGGTTTAGTGGGGAAAGTGGTCCGTTTTGATTATAAATTTGCCACGATGATGGGAGACTTGGACGGTGGTTAATATATGTATATATCCTGTGTTGCTGTTTTAGTTTTCTTGACAAGAAAAGTTTAAATACAACAACATAAATGAATTTGATTTTCTATTGCTGATCTATGATTATACAAAACTATTTTCCCGCGGTTGAGAGACATGCAGGGGACATTGATGTCCCTGGGGGCGGGACAATTTTGCTCTTTTACTACCCCTCCAAGTCAAAATCCCTGCCCCTCCCCGGTTGGGGGTTTACATTGACTGGTGCATTAATTAAAGAGGTGTCAGTGCCACATATGTAGTAAAAGCCAACTTGTCAGTAAAGGCCACAGAGCAAGATTGTATTTCAAAGATTGCCAGTGACAAGAACAATTGATAGGCCTGAAATAGAGTATGCTAACAGTTAGTATACTGCAAATAACTATTCTATCAACAAGATAATGACCGATGTGTGTTTTTACAAATGTTTTTATATATCAATCCAATGGCATGTAACCTAAAATTCAGCAGTGTCTGTGTAATGTAATACACCCTTACTTCTCAATGGTCAAATTAACTATACTACATTGTGTATAATAATATATGGACTGGTTCAAAAATATATTGAATTAATAACTTATAAGTGTTGAACTGGTGAACTATTGATGTGGAGATTTATGCCAAGTATACAATGGCACAAGGATTTTCATGTTATCAGCATGATTAAATCGTGAGATTGTGCAAATAATCTGTGTAAAATCTCTTAGAGATATCCTCGGTAGCCACATTTTAAGGTAAAATAACTATGGTAAAGCTATTCAAGGAAAAAATCATTGGATCTGTCAACAATGAATTTAACTAAATTTATGATCCATTTATTGCCGTATTTTAGCTGAGAATTCATTTAAGACAATGCAATACGATAGACTTACCTTTGAATTTATCATATATTCTTTTAAAATGGTCACCAAAGCTCTAAAACTCGATTGGTATCGTTTTAACTTTCTCACTCCTTAATGTTTACATGTAAATTTGTCAAATTACACTTGTTTAGGACACTGGAAACGAGACGCGGCCAAGATGCGCGAGCCGACATGCGCGGGGACATCAACATCAAAGATTCCGACATCGAGTG